CCACTTTGGCATCGTGTTGTATTGTGTGAACATGAAGCAAGTATCTGTTTGAGAGTATACAACAACCTGTTACGAGGTGCTTTATGAAGGTAAAGATCCCGGTAGTGGCTCACGGTTTAGAAATCATTTAAACGTATGCAACACACACTCCTGTAACATTATCACAGTTAATGTAACACTTTGTTGTGATATTGTGTAACGTGATGTCAACATGTGCAGGATCTGTAAGATTCGAGGTGTACACAGCAGACATGTTCTCATCAGTCTTTCACTGTCACGTTTGTGTAGATGCTCAGGCGTTTCACACCAGCACGCTGGAGCGCAGACTCCCCATCCAGGCCCACCCTCAGCATCAGTCAGCTGCTCCAGCACAGTCGAGCCAACAGGAAGCCGACGCAGATATGGTGGAGATCCTCATCTGACCACCTCATCTCCGGAGTGGGAGCTCCGTCAGCGCCGACGACCTGCAGCTCTCGTTTTCATACCTTTGTGTTTACAGGCGTGTTCATTCAGACACTTTTACATCAGCTCCAGTGAATCAGTGTTCATCGATATCTTTAAAGGAAATCAGCCCGTCGCAGCACCCCGAGCGCTGTTTCTTGAATGTGAGTTTAAATTAAGTGGTGACTGGAATTTAAGAATGTCAGTGATCATGTGATTTCTTCTGTCCGTGCCACTCGTGCTCCTGTGTTCACAGTGATGGCGTTGCATGGAAGTTAAATAGCTTTATGGACTAATAAGCATGAATCCTTCATGTTGTGTCCATGCACGAGACGTGTTGTTCCTGACTGTACATAACTGTTTATAGCTGCACCTCTAAGGTAAATGTTTCATTTGTCACGCTGCCCTGGGGGTTCAGTGTTACTGTTAATAGGTCAATACGTCACTGTGTACGGCACCAGTAGTATTTCAGCACATTGCCAAGCTTAACTTTTTCCCCTCTCGCAGCCAGTAATGCACCATCTATAACATTTATGTGTGTAATAGTACGTTTTTCTTTAAACGACCTGATGTTAAAGTACGACATGAGCAGGTCAGTAAACACCCTTCACTCTGAAACTGGCCCACCTGGTACCCCTGTGCTTCCTCCAAACAGGCGAACCCTGGATTGCGTCCGTGCACATCACTGCGTCGAGTCGGGGTTTCACACGTCTGCCTTTGACCTCAGCAGTGAGGGTGGGACAGCTTAGTTAAGCTTTCACGACCTCCCTCTGTGGAGGAATTTCCCTCACCATGTTACGGTCTGTGTTGTAAGAACGTGCAGCTTTCTTTTAGTACGTTATCATTTTAAAAAAGTGACACAAGCGTTTAGTTCTTGAGGATCTTTCCATTTCTGACACTTTATTACCAGATTTCTCCAAATGACTCGCTAAGGGTCAGAGCATCGATGCTCCTCTGCAAGCAGCCAGTGCCTCCATCAGATGTTGGATGAAAGCACTGAATAGATGTGTGTTACTGGGTGAATCAGTGCACTGTATAATATCAGTGCACTGAATGTCTCTGTGTCACTTTGGTAAGTTGTCAGGCTGGTTTTTGCACACGTGTGTGTTGCTCTGTATTAGCGAGCTAGTTTCCAGCCATCGTGTCATAATCCTGAACAAAGTAACTGATCGACCTGTAAAACAAAAAGCTTTGTATACATGACATAAAACGTTAACCTTCAGCAGGCAGCACGTGCTCAGTCTCTGAAAATAAACTTTCCTCACATAAAGAATCTGATTCAGATAATTATGTTCAGCAAAAATAATATTTTAAGACAAAAGTTTCCAACTATTTATCTTCTGTGAAGTTCAGCCTCATTAGAGTATATGGAGGAGTGCTGCTCGAGTGAATGCACAGACATATTGGTCCACATCTGTATGACCGTCCACATCTGTGTCCACGTTACTGTAGTGCTGCTGCAGCCTGATGTCACCAATGTAACTGAGCTGATTCACACGGCTAATATCACACTTATGAAAAGTAGTTTTATTATTCAAGCTGTCATTTAACAGTTTCCAATAAAACTACCAAAGAATGGGCAGCAAAATAACGTCATGTCAGTGGGACGGGATCATTTCACTACGAATACTTAAAGAAAACTGACAATAACTTAACATCATCAGGTTAAATGAACACTTTTCCCACCATTGCAGAATATTTTAGGATATTTACTCTCCACTCGTACTTATCTCCTCTTGTTTGAGATTCCTGATTGTAATCTGTAATTTCCACGTCTGTCTGCACGTTGGGACCATCCTAAACGAGCTCACGACAGTTTCTATTCTTCGTTTCCTGGTTCCACATTTGGTAAAGTTGCACTTCTTTGTTTCGCCCTGTCATGAGGGGAACTCGTGTATAAATCGAGCTGCTTTGCTTTCTGGTGTAGAACAAAGAAAGATGTTAAACTGCGTTCAGTCTGGTGTGAACTCAGTAAATCTGTCAGGCGACTCGTGAAGGTCTGTTACTGGTTCATGTTCATCGGGTGTTAAAGAGGTTATGGAAATGATGCTAAAACACAACAGTGTTAGTGCAGACGTGTTTATTAGTTTCTACCATTAGTCTAGTATTATGCATGCATTATAAAGTATTGATGTTTCATGTGGGCTCAGTTGAAAGTTTGATGACAAAGGACCTGTGGGCCCTCAGGTGGGATCACGGAGAACGTCAGGATATTATGAATGTCTCCCTTCAAGTCCTGGACGATGCCTAACAAGCATGTAGTTCTATTATTTTACCAAATTTCAGTGTTTTGTCCAGTTTAATTTCTGGTTTTACAATTATAGTCGCAGGACTCTCGAGGAATTTCAGAAAACACTGGAGAATACCAAAGGTTCCCATCAGAACACCAGTAGGAGAGTAAGAAAACCAACGTTTTCCAACGATCCTTAAAAATCACTCGAATCGAAATAGTTTTTTAGAAATGAGCTGTGTGTGAGTGACGGCTCATTTATTGCAGAGGTGCCTGTTAACGTTGCTCCTGCAGCAGTAAGAAGTGATGTGCGTCTCTCATCCCACCTGAGGATGTCCTCGGTCCTGCCCCGCCTGCATTTCCAAAGCTTCACTGTGTTCATAGCTGCTTTTTGTTTAAACAAGTCAAATCCTTTGAAAGCATTTCCTCCTGCAGCATATTTAGTTAATAATCTAAGTTACATTAGTTCCTCTGCACTATAAATAAAGTACAATTTGTTAAGGATTGCAGTCTGTACCAGGCACATGCCCTAACATATTTATTAACTCATGATTATCTCTGCATGTAACACCTTCAAAGACTGAAGTGGCGGTCACATTTATTGCACATTGTGATTATAAATCTCCCATAATGTGACAAATGCCTGGCAAAGAACACATGTAACAAAATGTCTCGTATTGTAGCTTCTTTACGTTCTTTTTAGGCCGTTTTTTACACTCCTTAATGTTGTTATTGCTGTACAATCAAAATATACAGAATATAACTTCCTCATATTGTATCCTGGTATGAAGTCACTGATTTATGTGCTTTTGGATTTGAAACTTGGTCCTTCTCCAAATGTTTTTTATTATCTTTTATGAAGTGAGTATTACTTTAACTGTTGTTCAATAAATTAATGCTGAGGCTTCAAGGTTGTTTCGGATGTTTTACATGGACACAGCTCGTCTGTGAAGGTTCTCCGTCATCCTGGTTGTGACGCACACCCGTTTTCACCTCCAAGAGGTCCATTGTCCGTCTTGGAGGGACACTCCCATAGGGCTTAAGGCTACGTCCACACTAGCCCGGATAAATTTAAAAACGTCTGTTTTCGACTGAAAACGCTCCGCGTCCATAGTTTTCAGTCGTTTTCACAGAGGTGTGCGTCCACATTGAAACGGCCGAAAACGCTGACGTTCCAGTCCTGCGCATGCGTGAAACACAAGAAGATTCAGCCCGCCTCATTTCTGTCTGCCGCTTATTTACTTTCCAGCTCTTTGAAATGTCGGCAAAATGTTGAGGAAAAGCAGCGAGTTTTTAAATGGACTAACAATGAGGTGGAGTTGCTGCTGTGAGCAGCACAAAAGTATAAAGTTGCAAAAGCGAGCGAGAGGTAAAGAATTTGAGGAAAAGCTGTCTGGAGCGCGTACAGACTGATATTCATCTTTAACAGGGCTCAAACCTGAGAGCAAACAAAACAGCTGCTGTGTAACGCCCTCCACTATCTCAGTTTAATTGGTCACATGACTGCATCACATGACTAACGTGTCATCGTTTTAGAAAGTGCGTTTTCGCTGTCCACACTGCGACGTGAGAGCACAGTTTTCAAACGTTTGCGTTTTCGAGAGCGTTTTGAAAACGATGCGTTTTCCATCAGCGAAGCCGCCGTCTCAGTGTGGACGGGAGGCCGAAACGGAGAGAAAACGATGCGTTTTTTAAAACAAAAATGCGTTAGTGTGGACGTAGCCTAAATCTGGGACCCTCCACCATTTGACCCTAGAACTGAAGAAGCTTCTCGGAGGTGAAACATCTTCAAGCAGCTTAAAGAAGTTCAGACACATTTCTTTCCAAGCTCCTTAGACATGGAAACACCTTCTATTCAGTGCACGTTAGTCACCATCAATACTGTGATCACATAATCAAATCCAGTTATTGTTGCCTCACATTAACTCATAGTTTCTCTCAGAAAAAGCTTTTTAATGCTTTTATACGTGAAAATTATTTATCTGGTTTGGCATAATGTAGCACAAAAACAGTAAAACGTTTGACGTTTCATCCACTAATGGATCTGAATCTGATGTTAAAGTACAAAGTGAACAAAATATAACATTAATAAAACGACACATTAACGGGCGATGCGTCTCAGGTGACGTTACAAAGCAAAGGTAGTTTCAACACTAGATCATTTCTGCATTTAATCATTAGTTATTATTTTCCACAGTGGGCCTTTTGTCCTGTTTCCTTCTCCCACGTGATGGCTGCCCCTCCCTGAGCTCCACCTTGACACACCTGAAATCTGTGTGAACATTTTGTGCATTAAAAACATTTTTCAGACTCACCTATGCTTGATGCAGCCAATCACAGCGATCTCGCAATTTTAATGGCCGAATTTGCAACAATGTTTTTTCCAACCAAGCTCAATTTTCCGTTTATTTCTTATCCGAATAAGCAGATCTTAATAATTAGATCACTGCATTTGCATACTTATTCTATTGTGTATATAGTATTCTTTCTATTTTGTATAATGTTATTCTGTTTATTCTATTCTATTGTTTTTCTTTTTCACTGCTCTTGTGGGAATGTTTTGGTCACGGCTGAAAGTACGTGTGGAACTAATAAAGGTTTATTTTATCTTAAATGGGAAACTAATACTACTGTATTTTACCTTGGACACACAGCTAGACGCTGATCCAGGTCGATCGGCTCTCTGAAACGATTTCTTCAGATGTGGTAACTCTGCTAACAACAGCTCAAACTACCCTGCTGACAAATATGGACACAAACCACCGTGGTGCTGCTTCAGCTCCTGGATTAAACCATAAATCCCTACGGTTCCCTTCTCATAAGAAATGGATGAGCCCAGACTTGTTTAGAAACATCGTAGCTTCCTGTTGATGTTTTTTCTCCACAGTGCATTTTTTACCCCTAAAATCAATTCGTTGCCTTCTAGTGACTCAAAGACCACAAACATACAAGGAAAAGGAGAAAACCTCAACGATCATATGACCGCTAATGAGTAAGACCTTTGGCAACAGTGGGAAGGAAAAACTCTTTCAAATGGAAAAGAAACCAGAACCAGGCTGAGGGAGCCAACCAATCACAGCCATCTGCTGTGATTGGTTGGGGTGAGGGAAGGAAGACGGGAAAAAGACTAATAACTAAATGCAGAGCAGCGTATAAACAGAAGAAGACCTGTGTTAATAGAGAGGTTTGAAATCTGCTTTTGAATGTACGTACAGATTTATCTCATGTAAGCAGAGCTTGTTCCAAAGACTGTAACTGAAGGAATCTTCATCATACTTGATCTGATTCTGGAAACAGTCCAAAAAGCTGAACTGGGTTGGACACCATAAGAAAATCAGACATGTATTGGGAGGCCACATCGTTGAGAGGTTTGTGAACTAATAGAAGATTTTAATTAAATCTATACTGCACTGGTAGCTGATGCATTGTTTTCAAACTGGGCTGATGTGGTCAAAGCTCCACGTACCGCCACGGATTCTGGCTGCTGCATTCTGGACAAGCTTAAAGCATCAGACTGATGAACTGTCCTGCAAATGGACCAAAATCTAACCTTGATATGGAAGAATGGACCAATTTCTCAAAGTCAGTTTGAGATAAGAGTCGCCTTGAGGCGACATTTGTTGTGATTTGGCGCTATATAAATAAAATTGAATTGAATTGAATTAAATGTTTTTAAGTTAATCACATCACTGCTTTCTGTTATCAAAACTGAGCTCACTGTCCATATCGATACCATGCTCCCAACTGGCTCATTGTGTTTCAGCAGCAGGTTGATAATTATGAACAGATTTTCTGCCTCTGACCTTTTGGACCAACATGTGTTTGTCTTGTCTCCCGACATCCAGCATTTCATGCCATGAATGCAGTTTATTAGTTTGTGAACAGGTTTTACATCATCAGAAGAACATAAGTGCAGCAGTGTATTATCTGCATAACAATGGTTGGATATATTATGATTCTTTATCACAGTACAAGTGGGAGCATGTAGAGGTTAAATGGTAATGGATCGAGGATCGACCCTTGAGGAACCCCTGACTGAATTTTTGCTTGTCCAGATCTAAAAACTGCTAATTGGATAAGAGCCCGTCAAGAACCTGACTGTTAAACTGACCGAGTCATGAAGCCTTAGAACGGTCCACAGTGTTCAAGGACTCAAACTGAAACTGGCAGAGACACTGTTGATCCTCGGGTCATTGATGACTTTAGTTTCTGTGCCTTGATTGGTTCTGAATCCTGATTGGTACATATCACAACAACTATTAGTTGAAATATATTCATTCAGTTGTTTGTATCAAATCAAATTGTTTGTATCCAAGTTATATTTCTTGAGCACCGGTTTGGTTACAGCACATTTAAGAGACACGGGTAAAATGGCAGACTGGAGGGAGCTGCTGATATTTACTGAGTGGTTTGTAAAGCAGCAGATTTGAATAGTTTGGTGGGGGTGGGGTCGAGTAGACAGGCTTCCTCCAGATCTTTAGGATTTAAAGTTGTTCATTGTGTTCATTATGTGAGGCCACACTAGATAAATGACTATGAAAGGGTAAGATATTACATAGCATAAATATCACATTACGAAATTAATATAATAATATGAGAAACTTAGTTCTTGTATAAAGACACAAATCCATCACACTTATTGGCTGAAATAAATTCAGCTGGTGTGGTTTTGGAGGCATTAAAAAGTTTATCAATGGTTGAAAACAAAAAAGCAGAATTAGCCTGGTTATTGTTGGTCAGCTGAGAGATGCAGGGTTTTTATTGTTGTAGCAGTAAAGTGCATTTTTTGTAGATTTCAACAGGAGTTTATTTTTTTCCATATTTCTCTCGGCAGTGTCTTTTTGCCATCTTTACCTTTTTGCTGTTTCTTCCGGGTGCTTTTGGTGGATTGTGTACATTAATAGTTTTGACAGGAGCAATGTGGTTAATAATGTGAGAGAATAAAGTCCTTCATCACCTGATGACAATAACGGTCATGTACACCAGGTAGTGTGATAGCGTGTTCGCCCAAATCACCGGAACACAAACATCTTAAAGCCCAGAAGCTCAGATTGGTTGGAACCGATAGCAAACACCAAGAAGCTGAGAACACCAGCGTGCTGTGTGGGAAACATGTAAGGGTTCCCAGAGAGAAGAGGCCAGAACACTGGAGAAGCTGAGGGACAGCAAAGAGACTCGAAGCCCAAGTGGAATACCAGCCAGCACCACCAGGTGCCACGACCCACCCCCAAAAGCGCAAGACAACCAGGCCCAAAAGGGGCCCACCTGAGCCCCGCACTCCCGCACACTCACCAATCACAGAAGCAAGAGACACTCATTCCAACACAAAGAGGTGGGCAAAGGGACATGGCAGTGGGACTGCAGGGAGATCCATGGGACCACAGCACACAGGCCAACACAACACATTGGGGACAAATTAAGGAAAAGGGAAGGGAGCCAAGTCGGACAGAAATGGCAGGATCAGACAGCCCTACTCCCGCACTGCCCGGAGTCCAGAGCCCACCGATGACTGCCAAGGTACCCACCCCAACATAGCAAACCACCCCTCATGGAGACGGCAGGGCGACCAAGAGAGGGGCCACAGGGGGCTGCTTTTTGTTTTTTTTTAATTGGATAAATAATTATGCAATATATATATATACATCATGAATGTTCTCCAATTCCCTGATTGGGAACGTCTATAAATTATTAAAGTTTATTAAATAGATTTTCCAACTGCTGGATGAACTGGGACCGGCAGCCCGGAGGGCTCAACATCCCCTGCAGTAGCCCCAGTCTCAGAGGCAAGGTGGAGCAATGGAGAAACCAGGGAGGGGGTGAAACCAAGCCTGCCAAGCCCCATCATAGGTGGTTGTATAGGTATGTCGAGTGTAGGAAATCTTGTTTTATTGTGTTTTTAATTTGTGCGTA